CCTTTTTTTTTTTTTTTGAAAGGGGGAATAATAAATCTTGTGCAACTGGTATGCTGTGGCAGAGGGTGGGTTTGGTTGGAAACTTGGGCTCTTTGGGCTGTGGAGGGGCACGGAGCTGGGAGAGGTGGCAGGAGTTTCCACCACGGACATGCTATCACCCCTGATGTCCTGCACCCCTCCCACCCTGGGGGGGTGAAAGCCAGCTTAATGAACCTGCTTTAAATCCTCCCCACACCTTGGTGAGTTCAAATAAGGTTTCTGAGAATCTTTCAATAGGCAAAACATCGTTTGTCCAAAAAGGGATATTTATTTTGCAATTTGTTTCAGCACTGCTACAAGGTGCAGAAGCTCTTTGGATCAAAACTCTCTGTAGAACCATCAGTTCTTGCCACATTTCCATCTTGGGGATGTGCTTTTGTCTGATCCAAACAAGAAAAAGTGAAGAAATGCACTGGCTATCCTGAAAAAGGAGACTCCCCTGAAAAGATACCTTTCTATCTTTCTTTTTCTTTCCAAGAATCAAAAAGCCCTTCCCATAAAGACAACACTGCTGAAATCTGTGTTTCTGGCTTGTTTGCAAGGCAGACTCATCCCCTCCTGCCTCGCTAATGAATGCCTGCACAATGGGCACAGCTAATGATTCCCTGGGCGGATGAGCCCAAGAGATTGCCACTTATCACCTGTTATCTGTGTTTTCTTTGCACTGATGAAAAATCAATGGGAAAGCTCTTTATTCTGTGCGGACATGGGATTGAGGAGAGCCGGCCTGCGGCACCCTGGCTATCCTCACGCAATGAGTGGCACTTTGCAGGGCTCGCATGCTGGCTCGTACCTGGCAGGGTCTGGCAGCTGGGCAGGTACAGCCACAGGCAGGGCAGGGGGGGTGTGGGCTGGGGGGAGCCCGCGCAGGAGAGTGAGGCTGGAGAAAGGAAGGATGCTGGAGAGGCAGCCCTCGGGATCTGGAGGGGTTCTTATGCTGCTCTGAATGGGGGGATGAAGTGGTGATGGCTGGGCAAGACCCCACTGCTCCCCTGTGCCAGGCTGGCTGGATTCCCCAACTCCAGACGTGGTGGCGGCCACGTGCTGGGGGGCCCTGGCAGCCCCCGCCGAGCTGAGCCTGTCTGTCATGCAGAAGAGGAGTCGGCGAGTGTGAGAGCAGCTCATATGGGGGGCAGGCAGCAGCGGGGACGTGCGGCGCACATGGCTCTTCCCAACACTCTTCCCAAGGGATAAAGATGTGTCTGACGGGTCCCTGCATAGGGACATGTGGGCTGCTGGGAATAGCTCAGCAGAGCTGTTTCCCGGCACCATCCCCCCTCCAAAGATAGTATTGCTGCTCCTAACACAGCGGGAGAGAGTAACCGGCTGGGCCCCTCGCACCAGGGACAGGCTACTGGGGGTGAGCAGGGATGGAGAAGCTGGAACAGACCACGCTTGAGGGCAGAGCATCCTGATCCTGAGGTGGGACATATTCCCCGCTCTCCCTCCTGCAAATGGATGACCCCAATGCCCACTCCCAGGCTGGGACCAGGGACAACCTGGGCAAACAAAACCCTGTCCCAGGAGAAGTCTGCAAAGGCCAGGGTTCATTGTTTTGGGTTTCTGGGAAAGCTCTGGAGAGCTCACAGCATCCCGGCAAGCACACGGCGGCCTGTGCTGTACGTCCCCAGGGAGCATCCAGGGCTGCACACTTTGTTTAGGAACAGCATGGTGGGGTTATGGCAGCTCCTGGGAAAGGCCAGCTCAGAGGAAGCACCGAAGACGGAGAGACTCTCTTGTGCGAGTGTGTGGGTGGAAGGGAGCAGCTCAGCTACCTCTGCCTCATCCCCTCCTTCATTGCTCACCTCTATTTTTGGTGCGTGCACCCCCGTTCATGGCTCTTGCAGGACTTAGTGATTCCCCCGGGGCTGGGACAGCTGCAGTGTGGGCTGCCAGAGCCGCTCTCAGCTGAGATTTCCAGCTTCAATAAGCATCGTTAAGTGCTAGCAGGGGCTTAGGGTCATGTAGTGCAGCATCTCTGGTGGGGACAGCAGCCACTGAGATAGGGACACTCCAGGGTATTTGGACTGCTCTGGCATCGCCTGGATCAAAGCAGCTCTCTGATCTCCTGCCTCATCCCAGGAGGAGCTGGGACCACAGAGAAAAGTCCATACTCTGTGCCTGAGATGGAGAAGAAACACCAGAACCAGGTGACCCAACATGATGGTGAGAATGGCCGTGCTGGAGTCAGTGACAGGTCCCATGTGCCAGCAGGTGAGAGGCAGGTAGGAAAGAAGAAGCAGATGTCAGCCTTTCCCACTTCTCTGAAGGTTTAATGAGGGCCAGATTCGCCCCTGGCTTCAGTTCCTCTGAGCCTCTATCAACTCCAAGTCAGCCCAGGAATTCCAGCATCGCTCTGATGTGGTGTTGAGGTGCAGACCACAAGAGAGGAGGAGCATGCGCCAGGGAGCGCAGCACCACATCTGGGCAGCCCATCTGGCACGGCGGCTGCCAGAACTTGCTCCTGGCTGCATCCAGCCCTTGGGCCCTGGGAAGACCTGCACAGAGGCTTCATCCAGCCCTTCCCAGAGCTCTGCCCAAGCCTCTGGAGGAACTGCTACCATGTGCATGGTCCTGCTTTGCCAGAGTGGCAGTAGGTGACAGCAGTGCCCACAGAGGAAGAGGAGGCAGAAGGTGCTGGGCTCCTTCCAAAGTGACCGTGTGGCTGAGCACAATGTGTTGGAGAGCACTGTGGGCTGCAGAATATCCTGCAGCACCGTGAACACAGGTCATGGACACTGCAGGGTGACAGTGGTGTCAGAAGATAGCACTGAGCTGTATGCCATACAGTGCTGTGTCCCGACAGATGCTGGCCCATCCCATACGTCCCCCAGGTTTGGACACTTGGAGGAGGCACTGGCCAGTGGCAGAAGATGCTAGCCCGCTGCCTTTCCTTGCCTCGGGGCCTTTCCGCCCCCATCCCACGCACTCTTCCTAACCCCCACGATGAGCCTTGGTATTAAATGTGCTCCGCAGAGCCCTGGGAGGCAGCGGCAGGCTCCTGGGTGAATACTAATAACGATGTCGTCCAGTCGCCCCAGACTTTCCCACACATCTGCAGCCACTTAATGTGGGAATCGTTAACCCTCTGCTTACACAGTGCCTGAAACACAGCAAAGGAGCAAAGCACAGCTAGGATCCTCCCTTCCAGGCCTTGGTCACCTTTGGAGCCCATGTCTCCCATATCAGGCTGGGTGGGTGAGCTCTGCTCAGCACCCATCAGCTGCATGGTGAGCACCCAGCTCTGTGCCAGTGCAGGGGGAATCACATCACTAACCCAGTGAGAGCAGGGGCCCCGCATGTGCTGGAAAGAAATGAGAGATGCCAGTGTGTGTCCCTGTCCCCAGTGCCCTCTTGAGGATAGTCTTAAGATTTGTGACATTTACATTTTGCCAGAAAAGGTGATCCAGATCCTGAAGAGCAACACTGAGCTCTGGGGAGGGGAGAGGGGGGCTGTATGACAGTGCTGGCAGCACATCAATTTGGGCTAACCTGGTCCAGCACCCATCTCTCTGGGGACCAGCTCTGCAGAGCATGGGGACACAAGTGCCAGCAGAGACATGATTCAGGCATCTGGGAAGAGCCGAAGGGTGTGTGGGAGTCTGCAGTGGGGCTGATAGAGCTGGGGCAGGGGATTGTCCTCTGAATTCTCCACTGATGTCTCTCTCTGTTGCCAGAGAGGAGAAGATGCTCTCAGGGCATTCAGTGGGGTGGGTGTGCTTTCCCCATCCCTCCCTTACTCTCTGGGATGCTATTCCAAAGGTATATGGCAGGAATGATGCACAGGAGACATGTTCTGTTCTCCCATTCCTCCTGATGCAGGAGGGTGGCAGGAGAAGCTGGGGAATGGGAGGAAGGTGCTGGCTGGGCTGGGGTGTGTGGGGGGCCATGCAGCTCTGGGATGTGCTGGTCTGAAGCCACAGGTTTGCCTTTGGGAGCAACAGAAACTAGAGGGAGTGGGGAGGTCACAGGCCCATAGAGATGCTGGGAGGTGGTGGGATAAGTGGGCTCTGGGGGGAAAGGGGAGCAAGGGGAGGCATGTATCTGACCCTCTGCGAGCATCTCCCTGTCTCGCTGAAACTATGGTGGGAGGTCAGAGCAAGCACGGGGACAAAGCAGGGCTTGGTTTCCTGGGTTGAGTGGCTTCTTCATGGGAGAAGAAGGTGGTGGGCTGGTCTTCACTGCAAACCTGCTCCATCTGTGGTGGCTGCTTACAGCCTGGCCCTGGGGACCTCCCGGCCCTCCCTTCCCCAGCCCTCCTGCTTCCAGGAGATGGCATCACTCGATCACGGATAGCTGCACCGAGCCCCAGGGAGTGTCGGAAGAACCCTGGCCCCTCTTCCTCTCTGCTGCATCTGCCTGGTTTCCACCAGGAATCTCAGGCATGGAGGACTAGCAGGAGCTCCCCGGGCCGGTTTGGTGCTGGGGGTCTCTGGGGTGGATGGAGAATACTGCCACCTCCTATCGTCCAGCTGGGGACCCTCAAGGACTCTGGCAGCTCTGACCTGCTCACCCGTGGGATTCTGGTGTGGGTGGACCAAGGGTCCCCAGCAGCACTCTTCAGCCCCAGTCTAGCAGCTGGGATGCTCCTCAGAGAGCCCATGGAGGGTTCCTCACTCAGTTCTTCCCCAGAATAAACTTTGCCAACCATAATCCCCGCCAGCAACAAAGAAGCCAACAAAAAAAAAAAGAGAGAAGTTATTATTGGTGGATCTTTATGGCTCAATTGTCTTCCCCTGCCCCTGTCACCCTGCACTGAGGGAATTTGTGGCACGGCTGTTAGCAGGCACCTGGTGATGCTGTGCCCCACCAAGCCCTTCACCTGCTGTGGGGGAGTATGCTAAGTG